TCTCCTCAGTTTCAAGATATTCCCCTTGTTACCTCAGCCAGTATCGGAATCCTCGGCGTCGACATATCAAGTGACGTGCATTTTCGTGGTCAGTTGGAAGAGAAAGCCAATTGGCCCCTAAAAAACTTGGACGTGCTCAGCAGAGTGGAACAGTTTTTCATGCCGGCACACCGCCTCCAACTTTACAAGGCGCAGGTTCGGCATCACATGCAATACTGTTCCCATCTCTAGGCACGGGCTCCCTAGTGCCAGCTCCCTCACTTGACCGCATACAGCGCAGAGCGGCTCGAATCGTCAACGACCCAGTCCCTTCCGATCGGCTCGATTCACTGGCGCTGCGAAGATATGTTGCATTCCTTTGCATTTTATTTCGCGTCTACCACAGGGGGTGCTCTTTGGAATTGTTCGTATTAATCCCAGCCACCAAATTTCACGCACGCACAATGCAGCAAAATTTCCGATACCATCCACGCCATCTGAATGCTTGACGGTCCACCACTGAAAGTTTCACTACGACTTTTCTTCCGCGTACGACATCTCTGTGGAATAGATTACCACCGGTGATTTTTCCGGACTGATACGACTTAGGAACCTTCAAGAAAAGAGAACTCCTTTCTAAAAGGCCGTCATCTCACCTGCAATTCCCCTGATGTTGCAGTTGTTCATGGACGGTCACTTACCATCAGGTGAGCCGTAACCTCGTTTGCCCCTCTACTATAAAAAATGTACATACTCATACGTATGTCAATGTCAACGTAACATAAGAAATCATTATATATAACGACCTACTCAACGTTAGTCTTAGTTTTTTTTTGTATAAAGTGACAAGTAAACATACAGCCCGTCTGTGGTAGTAAGTGTCTTTTGCAGTTCATTTTCATCTCTGGCCAACTACAAACAAGGACGGCCACAGATCCATTGCACCATTGAGCACAAATATGAAATGCCTTACAGCCTGTAAATATACTGGCTTTCCTTACCCTACAGGTATATAGAGAGCAAGTATAATTCGGACTCTTAGGAATAAAAGGGGTTCTAGCAACTAGTATAACCTGCAGATAATTTGCCTCATTTGAAAATTTCTAGTACAAAAATGAAGCGAAAGAAATATTTTTAATTTATTATCCTAAATCCTAAGCGTAATGTCAAGTGGCAGTCGTTACAAAAATTATACGAACAATTGGCCACCCGCTCTTTTAAAAGACATAACATCTCTTCCTCCCGCCCCTCCCCCATACTCATCCCCACACACTAAGAGGCTCCCGTTTTGTAGAGACGTTTTACATAATAATTTTACGTAATGCAAACTAATAAGCATCCAGACAAGGAATAGTTATTTGTAGGGTGCACAAACAGTTCTTTGCTCCATATAGTTCTTAACCCACAGCGCTGTAGCTAAATGCAAAAAAGAAAAGCAAGAGAGACGACTAAGAGACTATGGGTCAATTTTTACAGAATAACAATTAAGGCGATCGTAAACGGGCCACTATTCTATCAATTTATAGCTGCATTTTAATAGCTGTCAACATTGCTCTACGTGGCGCGATGTATCGCGCAGAGAGTAGAGCAATGTTGCTTAGACTATTGATCCAATATTGCTTTACGTTGACATACTTAATTGCTTGTATTTTCAAGTCCAAAGAATATTGGCAGAATATACTCTGCAAAAAGTATTGTAGTAAAAGTATCGCTGGAAATATTATTGAGTTATAATATTCCGAAAAGTTTTCAGCAAGATAAAACTTTTATAGTTCATTTATGAGCCATTTAGAATACTAGCGATTAGGTAAAATTGTATTCTAGATGAAGTATAAATGCTATATAAAACTATCGTTTCCCCACTTAAGCTGCAATGCATATTTTTTTACAGAATCTTTCGAGACGTGTGCATTACAAATCAACAATGTTTCATCGTTATCGGATTAAGATAGAAGATGGAAGAGAAAAAAACTAATGTCTACTTTTTGTCAGAAACCTTTGCAGCTGTATGCAAAATAATTCATCAAAGTCTCGCGTCTTGTAAACAGCTAAATGGCATCGAAACGCATAGACGTACACGGTAGAGCCATACTGCAGCTATATAAGTAGTATAGTTGTAGCACGAATGGGTCGGCTCAACCGGGGAAGGACCACGCTCGCACAGAATACCAAGGTAAAATAGCAGCATAACGCTGCTGAGTTTTGTATGGTGAGTGTAGAGAACCGGATACCCTTTTTACTGGAAACGAGGCATTCCATCTTAGTCCTCACGGGTGACAATGCACCTGCATTTTGACTCGTAATCGAGGATAGATGTAGATGTCTATGGGCCACGCCAACCACTTACCATCGGGTGGACTTGTGCTCGTTTATCGCCCCGATTCTATAAAAAAAAGACGACGAACAAACCAACAAAAAATTAATTTTATATTATATTAAGATTAAGTTTCGTAACAGACATTTTTTTACAATTATAGACTTGCTACGTTTGTTTGCTTCGTGGCTTGTGTCCAAAGCCATAATTAGGGTCAGACAGTTTTACGCAACGCACACTAAAAATATAACCGGGCCCTCTCAATGGGAGAGTGGTTCGACACGCAAATGACAGCTGGCAATGGATCCTCAAAGCCCAGCCGAGTACATTTGTTTTTATAAATTCATGCGCGGTTGTTTTATTTGTAATGTACCGGTCAGTGCCCGATAAGAAGTTTTTAGATTCATAATTAAGAAAAGAGAGCGTTTCTATTTAAAGCATGAAATGCATAATAGAACATATACCAGATATGGGAAAGGTTTCGATAATATTTCTTGTAATTCGCTAGTAAAAAATATTTTATTAATATATAGTAAGACAATAAAACAAGCGGAAGAGGGTTAACTAAAGCAATCATACGAAACAGATTAGAGAGTTGTTTTTAGCCAGTTTTTATTTAAATCTTTCTGTATAAAAGTTTGTACGACTAATTAATCAAGATTATTTGACGCGATTATGAATATGAAACATTTTAAGTAAATAACATTTTTTTATTTGTTTTTAATAAAACATCTTTGTCGTGAGACTTTACTTTCATGAAAACTAAAATAGATTGAGAGTTTGGTCAAACTGGTTAAGTTTCATTTACAACGCCTTTTATTAGTTTTAAAGTAAAATCCATTGGGACAGCCAAATACCAAAAAATAAACTTAAGTAATATATTTTTATTGTTTCAACATTGCATTGCTTCAGATTATTTATTCTGTGATTCAGACTTACCGATATTCAAAAAAATATTCACAGTAAAAGAATCGTTATTAAAAAACATTTAAAAAATTACACCTAGAATTTTCAATTTTACAAATTCAGAATTAAAATTCTTGGGATGTTTTATCATCATCATCATCGTCATCATCTTACAATCTGGAGGTCTTTACTGCTGAACATAGGTCTCCCTCATAGATTGCCTTATAGGGAGGATATTTGTCTTAAATGTTCTCCCTATATAGTAACATAGATTCAATGTAATATTTAATAATATTAAATCGAGTAGGACGGCAAGATTGAAGAAGTTATGCCGAGGCAATCATTCATGATTTGACTGGAAGTTTGAACGTCTACTACTGGAAAACTGTGCCTGTTAATGTTGTTGTCTAAACACAGAGCCGTTACAGCAACGTGTGTTGCCCTAATAAAATGAGTTGTTGTTTACAAATGTTACTATTTATAACTACTCAATCTAGAGCTTGCTGCTAACATTAAGGTATGTTCCTACTTATATACATTTTCGCTGTAATTTGGTAGTAAATTATAATTGTAAGGCGGCAGTTATTATGACACGACGAAGTACTTTTTAATAGCCATAATATAATGACTCCTACACTACTAAAAATGTTGTTGGCAAATATGCCAACTTAATTTTTCGAAATTTCAAATATCAAATTTAAGGTAATATGAGGGACCCTTTATCAAATTGATTGCCTCGTCGTTAGAAAGGTCAAACTACGGTAGATTCGAATGCCGGTTCGAGTCAAAATCAGTATTTTCCGTCGAGGGATGTAGGTAGTTGCAGCAGTTGGCTACGATTTAACGTTTAATAAACAAAATAAACTTATTAAATTTTCTTAACTTTATTCCATTCATGACCAAGTCTTCGGACGCTTAATTAATTATAACCCGCGTATAATTTTCATTAGTAAGGCAAAGAGGCAAATTGTACTCTTCGGTCTTCTCTAAAATTTACCGAAACTTTTCTAGGTGGTCTACAGTACTAGTGCCTTTAGAGAAATCGGCTTTTTCCGGCAGCTTAGAAGTTGTGCAGTCGGCGTGTGAGACGATTTGTATTCTTAATCAGTCTTAAAAGCAGACGTGACTTAGAAGGGATACGAGATTCTTGAATATGTCGTTGACGCTATTATTAAAATGGTGACCAAATTGTAATATAGCGTCGACATTTACTTGTATTGGAAAATTTATACCTTTCTCTTTGCATTCCTTGTTCTATAATTGTTAATAAGTGCGTTATTGTTCACAAAAGTCGAATGTATAAAAAAACATAAAATAATTAGTAATCAAAAATCACGTATTTTTATAGGAGAGGGTTCAAACGAGCATACGGCTCACCTACCAATGGTAAGTGACTATGAACACTTGCAACACCAGGGGAATTGCAGGTGCGTTGCCGGCATTTTTATTGATTATTCTATGTCAACTTTTACAACTATTTTAAGTGTCGCCCTAGACCTTAGCTTTTCGAAAACTATTTTATTAATATAAACTGGAAGTCAATTAATCGTGAGTGTCGATGGATTGAAAATGATGTAGGTTAATTAAATTTTTAATATGACATTTATTTTGTAGTTAGATATTCACGGTTAACAGTACACAAACAAAATTTCGGACTAACTTTGTCGCGTAATTTAACAAAACGCTTTATTGAACTAAATATTTGAGTTAACTGAACGCAATATTAACACAGCCGTAGCTCATTAAGTTCGTGTTTATTTTTGCATACACAAATAATACGAAAGTTCCTCGTCAAACTTACGCCTTTGATGCCGTTTGACGCGCGACAGCGTCGGTGTCTTCGGCGGTTTGGTTTTGACGCTCCTGTAACAATACAAACTCTCTTCCTTGCCTTTCTTCTGTAGTTTGAAACTCGAAAACATTGCATACGCATCTTTGACACTCACAACCGCACATACGCGTTATTTATTCTCATTTCGTTTTGGGAGCGAAAACGGCGTGCGGGTACGGTCGCCGCTTACACGAATTTGTGCGTTGTTGTTTTGTGTGCGCACGCTTCGATCTAAAATTAGGACATGCGCGCGTCGCCCTCGCCGCGTCCGTTATGACTTTTATTAATAAATACTAGTATTAGAAGCAATAAAACCTTTATGGTTTATGCGTCGGGTTTTCGACTGGGTCGTAATCGTGCTGTTTACACGCTGCGGCTATATCTTCGCCACAGGTTGGAACATTCAATATTAAACATCTTTACATAAAATGCATTTATACCTTATACTAATTAAATTTCAATTTTTTGTTCGCTTATCATAACATTTTATAGAGAATATTATTTACTATAGATAGTTTTTTTTTGGTAGGTACTGCTCTCTTTGATAAAAGTTTAATGTCTTGTTACTTTTTAGAGCTCCTTACTTGACATGAACAAGTGATTCGATAAGTGCAGGTGGTTCAGGTCTGCCCAACGCTGCGCTTTTCTATACGAGACTGATATTACCGGCCAATTGTCACTTTAGCTTACTGCTGTTACTGATGCTGTTTTTTTCAGTTACTCTGGTTCTTCTGCAGATAACCACGTTACTTATTAAAATCCTAGCATAGCCCTTTTCAGCGCAAGCTGAGTGAATTTGATCTACCTCATACAGACAACAGTGAATGACTGAAGTTCAGTTCCATAAGTCATAAACGTCAGTACACGCCCTCGTTGTAAACTTAAGTTACTTCTAAAACTATTGATTTTTTAAAGAGATTACATAGTTTATCTAGTTAATAAACATTATAAACTAATCTTAAGCAATGACTACTCAGCTTAGCGTTTAGATTTTGACGCTGGCAACTAAAAACTTAATTAAAAATTATGTACCACTAATATTAAAACAAAACGTTCGTAGCTCCAAATTACCTTCCATCACTACTGAAGAAACAATGTCAACATCACATTCAGTTACAGTACAATTTAGATTAGAAATTAATAATTATACTTTTATAAATTATCATCTCGTATACGCATACGTTTATAATCAATGCTTAGTAATTTAAATTATATATTCTATGTTATATTTTTACAAGCAACAATAATGACATTACAAATATTCCGTTAACCCACTCCAAACAACCTAAAATGAGTAGGACCATGACACGCTAGAAGTATGACAGTCGAATGGTAGATTTCAACCTACAATTCTGCAATAGCAGTCTGTAATCTTTACCGTTAGGCTAATGTCACTTATATTAAGATAGAGATGACGGTATCCCTGATTAGGAGGATTATAAAACTATTGGAATCTATTTGTAGCTTCTCGTTGGTCATAAATGCCCTCTACTGAATAATAGTTTTTCATCCTTAGAAGTTAGTACAAAACAACATTACAGTTTATATATTGTTACCCACACCATTAGTAGGATTATAATTCCTTACTTTTAGATTTTTTTACAGCAAGCTAGAGATGTGATGAAATTTCATATAAGTGATTACTACTCAGTACCTGTCTAAGGCTACACATCTATCTCTTAGCCCGTTCGGACACGTACCACTCTCATATTTATTTCTTAGTAGCCGTGGCTTGGTCACCCCCGGTGGACTAAGAGGAACTCATATGGCAGGCCCGAGGTGTGGGGCCGGCTTAAGGTGGCCACTCCGAGTAGGTTTGGCGAGCCCACTTCGGATGTGTGTTGGTAGGCTGTGGCGAGAGGGGTGCCCTCTCCCCCTACCGCTGCAGCCAAGGTAGAGTCACGGAGGAAGACGAGTGTTGCTATGGCGATATGCCAGTCGCATATCCTCCGCAAGCGCGCGCCTTACCTGGGAAGGAAATGGGGGAGAAGTAGTCCTCTCCCGAGGAGGGGGCCCGCTATGGGGCAGCGATCGCTGGTAGCCCTGCCAATACGCAACGATGGTGGAACACCATGTGGTTTCAGTCGGAGCGAATCCGATATAATGCATCCTTGCCCCCGCGAGGCGGGTATGCGTAGGCATTTCCTCATGTAAACAAAAAAGAAACCCCAAACGGGTTCCCGCCTTGTCATAGCGGAGGGGCTAAGTAGTCGTAGCTTTATTACTCTCGGTGAACGAAGATCAAACCACTTGGCCTGCCCAAGGTGTAAGGTCGGCACGAGGTGGGTGCTGCGAGTGGACTTGGCTAGCCCATCTCCGGATGCGCGTTAGTGAACTTTTGTGCGGTGGGGGGTCCTCTTTATTCTCTCAATGCAAATGCATCTCAAAGTCGATATGATCTCAATGGGTAAAATCTTTCAGAAGTGAGTGGTTCAGTCATTCTGCGCTTGGGCTTTGTAGACTTCGGACGTGTCGGTCGAGTTCAATCCCGTCACTCCACTCTCTTAGCTCATGCGTAAAATTTAAATTATTTTTCATTGCTTGATGCTGTGTGATTGGTTGCTGCCTTTGTGTTCTCACTGTGGTGCGCAAAGCACACTGTTCCGGGAGACAGCAGTCTCACGGTGTTTTTGTGAATCAATCGGAGGCTTGTTGTGGTTCAAAGTGTGCTTATGCGTAACTCTCCTTCCTGACTTGCTTTTACTGGTATCGGCAACCGTAAGTAGAGTGAAACACACTCGCCGCCTCAGACGCGACCGTTAATTTTTGTGTTACTTGTTGCACTAGGCAACCTATACTAGCTTAGTATACATCTGTGCTGTGTTAGCATAGTAAACAAGATGGTTTACAACCGACGAACTAGCCGACATATTTAGCCGAGCCCAATGCCCAGATATTTGGGCAGTGTTTATTGCACAACGTAACGCCCGTCCCGCGCCCGAGTCCGCACTCGTGTCCCTGCCTCTTTCCAACCCATCCACTCAGCGTGTTTGGCCCCTTATCAACCATCCGACTGTACGGATCGACAACTCCTGTGTCCATAGACACAATTTATGACACTGCGTACCCCGCGCCTTCCGCAATATCCACCCGTGGCCCGTCTACACTCTTCTCGGATGCCGAATCAGGTTCAGACATGGAGACCGAAACGTGCCTCCCGCTTAAGCACTTAGACGAAGGCTTCACCCTAGTCCAGAACAAAAAACACAAACGCGCAGCCCCTAAGAAGGCAGCCGAGCCTAACTCGACCCCCTCGTTACCCACCGCCACTCCAGCTAAAATGCCAGCCTCCGCGATATGCTCTTAACCCCGAACCCCTTTCGCTACCAGCGAAACTCCGACCTACGCAGAGACTATCAACTTCCGACAATCTCTGAATACTTCAAGGATATGTCTCGGCACAATTTCAAGAGGGCCGAGTCACATGCCAACCCGCTAGCGGTAAACGCAGCCACCTACGCTCCGACTCCGAACGTTACGCTAACCCTCCGGAGGCCACGTTCTAATCGAACCCCTTGTTCCACCAGATTCCAACGACCTAAATGTCATCGGCATCATACTTAAACACTACATAATCACCTAGTGCCACAAACACTGTTAGGATAACAATAGATGCGATGCAGCGATTTCGCAGACGGTGCACACCCCACCACACCGCTTTCACAGCGTACACCCGCGTCCCTGGGCGGTTCTCATCGCCCAGAACATCGAAAGATACGAGTTCGCCGTCAGAGTCGGGGCCCGCCACCCCCTGTTCGGACGGCCGTTAGATAACTCACCCAGGTTTTGTTAATGTGATCACTGAACTGAACATAATATTACGTTGCAACGTTGCACTAGAATAAATAATCTCCCCCCCCCCCCTTTCTTTAAGCACGCGAGCTCTGAGTTCGATTACGCTGTAAGAGCCGCATAGGCTAACAGCATTAACATCACATAAATTAGACTTTCAGAAGTTTAGGATTACCAACGGACGCACTAACTAACTAAAATTGATTGTGGACCCTTAACGCGCAAACGTAACAATCATCTGAGAAACTATGTACTTTAACTAGCCCATTAGAAATGAAATTTCTCAGAGCTAAGCAATTCCTTCAACAATTACATTAGAATAGAATAGAATAATTTTTATTCAATATAGATCACATGTGTAATTCTTATTGAAAGTCATTTTTTACTTTACCACTGGTTCGAAAAAAAACCTCTGTCCTGGGAAGAACCAGCAAGAAACCCAGCGGGACTTTTTTTTTTTGAAAGCATATTTTACATTAATGGTTGGTACAAAATTTATTTTAGAAACAGCTTGGAAGCGACCACCTCATTCCCAGGGGGTTATTAATTTATACTATAATAACCATGTATTAATTAACCAACCAAAACAAATATTAATTTATACTATAATAACCATGTATAATTAATTAATTAACCATGTATTAATTTATACTATAATAACCCTTTTTATAAAGTTTCAACTTAACAAAACATTTAAACTTGGTAATAGAGAGAGCCTGTACACTTGAAGACATTGAAAACATAAGGGGCTTAACAGTGAACTAAAGCAACAACAGGAATCACAATAGATTTTACACACCGCAGTGATACTGGTATTTCTAGAACTGCATAGCTGCTTGCATAAATAAAAAGAAAATATAATATATAAAAAGATAGAAAATACACATCTTCAGCCGCGGTAGCTCGGAAGTTAATTGCACGCCTTAAATTTAATAATACGGTGGTAATCCTATTTCATTTCTCACAGGCACAGCTGAAATTATTTATTGTAATTTTATGTGCTAATTTACCACGTACCTTCCATGTGCTCGGTGTTGAAGGAAAATAATTAAACTAAACCCAGTAAGTCTGAGTTATTAAAAATATTTCTAGAAAGAACTATCGCTACCTACTCCATAATGAAATCTCCGTAATAAAAGGTAGCCTGTTTCCAGCTGCGTAGATATATATTATTATGTTCCTAATGAAATCAGGAAGTATTCTCTCATTTTCAACTTTTTAAAGTCACTAATAGATAGATGCTTTCCCTTCTACCGAGAAGAGTAAATGGGGTCAAGTTGATCTATGTTGAAATAAAAT